ATCATTGCCAGTGATAGTCTCTGCAATTAAATCTCTTGGGTATCGTTTTGTGCATTTCCCATCAGGAATTTTTATTGAGTAATCCACATGGACCGTGAATCATGTTTTTGGTGACGATTTCTAATAAATATTGATCAATGTTGGCATCTAGTATTTCTGCAGAAATGACTTCATCAATTTGATCTGGTTTGACTTTTTCGATCAACCTAATTAAAATGTGTATATGTGGCAATCCTCTTTTTTTTGTCATTCAACGGAATACTCACAACAGCGTGCCTTTCCAAAAACATGATACTTGACAATAAAAAGTATTAAAGATTTCAAGTTTTGTTTGAACAGAAGCGCAGTAATATCGTGACGATCTGATGCTGAATGGCCAGTTAACGAAAGTTCTTATCTTCCCCCCCCCCCACGTGGAGTTGTATGTAAATGTAATTAAAAAAATCTGGGCGGCCATATGCGTGAACATATGTTATTATATCTTGTGCGTATTCCTGCATTTGACGTGAACTTCCAGTAAATGTCGCAGGTAGTATAACCATTTTCCCCAATTCATTTGGATTCACATTGCCATCATTCACAATTGAAGACCACACGGGAAAAAACGGCAAGGTCACATTTTTGTTGTTTTGAGATATTCCATTTTTAAAGTTCAAAACCATGCACATTAAAAATGTGTAAACAAAATGTAATTTTTAAAATGCATTTCACAAGAGTGTCCATTTCCCTGAGGTATTATATAGATAAAATAGTTCTAACTTGAATGTTAGAAGATGAAAATCCACATCCATCCTAAGATACGACCTCAGCTCCGAAACGCCTCAACATCAGTTGGCTGAAGGTCCTTGATGGGAGACAAACCTTTCTGGAAACCGTGGATGAACGCCTTGATACCACCACACTTGACAACCAGGATGTGCAGTAGCGTGGACCACACTTCGTGAGACGGTATATACCAGGAAAAACATAGATTGGTTTGATGAAAACAACTAAGCGATGAAAATGCTACTTGGGCAAAAACTTCGGTACTCCATGATGACCCAATGTCAACAGTAAAGACGGCTGCCTTGAGAAGCATCCGCAGCAAGGCACAGTTGCGACTGCGCCAGATGCAAGACTCCTAGCTGAGTGTGAAGCTGTGAGATTCATGGCTTTGCAGACAAGATAGACATGAAAAACTTCCACAGAGGCCAGAGAGAACTCTATGGTGTTACAACCTCAGGCTATTCCCTCTGTTTGGTTCTACACTCATCACAGACAACGAGAACGTCTTATGTGACATACTAAGAAGCTGAGAGGACTGAGAGGGGATCACGGACTGCTGAAGTTGTGTATCATCCGCGAACATAGGATATGAATGTGAACTAAGCGTTGTAGTAACTAACATCAAAAGTAATTCAATTATTTCGAAGCGTGAGCTTAAATCGAACTGTGTATTTCTCGGAATTTAGGTCACGTGGTTTTTATTGACAGCAGCTCTGATTCATAAATTTTAATAAAGAAAGATATCATATAAATTTATATATAGTTATTTGTCTTTAAACTATCAATACATTTATCTGAAGTCTTGTTTAATATATATTTTTATTTTAGTCAGACATTTTTAATGTTTCATGTATGTGGTTTATAGAGATTATAACATAATTCTATCAATGATTTTTTTTTTTGCACACGTTTTAAAAATTGTTATGATAATTTCTGTGTCTGTATGCTTTTGATGAAATTTTTATAGATATTGATTAAAGAATGATTGTATCTATTTGTTTAAGAAATAAAATACTGGTGAAATCATTTCTTGCATTGACGTAAATCATTCAACCTTTATAAAAGGAATTCTTTTCAAACAACTTTAAAAATAATATTTTACTTGTGACGTAGTTCGATCAAGATTTGTTTCCTTGTTTGTTTGTCTTCTTAAAGCCCATGTTTCCTTAGTATGCCACTCCTATCGTTCTGTCATTGGAACATACAGAATATGATCAGAGAAACTATTGAACGCGGCAGTTAGCAAACTGTTTTGGACGAGGATTGGCTGATACATTCAAATATGGGGAACTCAAATATTTTATCATATCAATGTGTCACAAACAGAAAATATTCTAAGAAAATGAATGAAGCTCATCTGAGTTAAATACTTTTGCCATTTTGTAGGAAAATAGAATTAATGCTCTTATATGGAACTCAATATTTATAAGGCAGGATATATACATCCATACGACTCAATGTTAAGTTACTGTATTTTAATAAGAAATATCGTGTGCATAGGCGCACCAAGGACATAATATAGCCCCCAAAGGAGTAATTAACATTGTGTCCCTTTCATTCTTGTGAGACAGAATTTGATGTGATTAAGATTTAAAAATAAAATTAACATCAAATTTAACATGGGTACAAACTATATTTTATTTTTAAATACTGGTAAAATAGCTTGAAAGGTAAACAATGATTAGTAAGTACTATATGAGGCCATAGCTGATGTATTCCTCTATTTCACCTATTCCCACAACTTCGTCCACGCAGTCAGTACTAGTTTTCCTGAAGCCTTGATCCCGGAATACCGCAAGAATTTTTATTAAAAAAAAAAAAAAAAAAAAAAAAAAAAAAAAAAAATTTAATAAAAAAAAAAAAAAAAAAAAAAAAAAAGAAAGAAATCCGTGAAAATCCTCCCATCCTGGGCATCGCATGAAACCAAATCCTCCCACCCTGGGCATCGCATGAAACCAAATCCTCCCACCCTGGGCATCGCATGAAACCAAATCCTCCCACCCTGGGCATCGCATGAAACCAAATCCTCCCATCCTGGGCATCGCATGAAACCAAATCCTCCCATCCTGGGCATCGCATGAAACCAAATCCTCCCACCCTGGGCATCGCATGAAACCAAATCCTCCCATCCTGGGCATCGCATGAAACGACGGGTTAAAACTCTTAGAATACATTTGTTCTTGTTGTTTTGTTTCTTTGTTGTTTAACTTTAGCATGTCACAGATTGTCACAAATTATCAGTATAAGCCAGGACCTGATAAATCTATTTAATGTTGTTGAATTATTAAGCTCAGTAGCTTCTAATATGTGGTTTGCCTCTTCATGCGTGCCTGACTAGTTGGGAGGCTTTGACTCCCGTAGCCAAAAACCCGAGCCACTTGCATGACTTCCACCGCAAAGGGAGTAACGCAATAACATAATTACTTGTTGCCGTTATGGATATGAGGTCTGGGTGTTGGCTAAAGCCCATAGCGATGGTTTTAGCTACGTGACCCTGAGAAAGCCGCTCCTAGGCGACCGTGTCGTCCCCGCTTACGTCCTGACTGGACGACTCCCTAGACAGGGGGAGGTAACGCAAACCTTTCATACGGAGTGGAAGCAAAGCCGTTCTGACCGACGGAGAGTGGACTGCGAATGTTTTAAAAGCAGTGTTGTTTGGTCGACTGGACGTCCCACAGGCCAGGGGAGAGATCCCCGATGAGCTTCCGCATGGTCTGACGGTCGGGTATGCAGGTCCGTGTGGGGGTGTTCAGGGGGAGGGGGGTATAAAGAGCTCACGCACGAGGACGCTATCTCCTAATGAGATGTTATTACATTGAATTTTGTCGGGGAGTCGAAAATTCTATCTACAGCATCAGGGTATGCCCTCATTTGTGATCATTCATCAAATTATGTATGTGCCACATGAAGTGGGAGCCGCAACGAAATTGCGATTATTTCCCCTTACGGACAACTACCACACGTAAATTGTAAATCATGAAAAAGTAAAGAATCCATGTTCTAACTAAACTGACTGTTTAATAGAATTAGAAGAAGCTTGAAATATGTATGTGGAAGCTTGAAATAGAAAGACAGGAAAATAGAAGAACATTTCGGCTAAGAGCCTTCTTCAGCTGACTAGACAAAAATGAAGAAGTAACAAACAATAAAAAGTATTCCAAAAACGTAAGTGCTATCACTTAATGGTATTGTAGGAATTTCTTTCTAACTTTTAAAAAAAAACAAAAAAAAAGAAAAAAAGATTACATAAAGTAAATGAATATATGTATTATTACTGGGGGAAAAGGATTTAACGGACAAAAATATTTAAGAAATATATGTAAAATAAAAACTGAAAAATAGGGAAATTTATGATCCATAGTAAGATAGAATTTTATGAACATCATGATATTGTGATACTGTGCCGAAAAGCTACATTAGTGTGTTTTCCTTTTTATGAACATCATGATATTGTGATACTGTGCCGAAAAGCTACATTAGTGTGTTTTCCTTTTTATGAACATCATGATATTGTGATACTGTGCCGAAAAGCTACATTAGTATGTTTTCCTTTTGAACTGTCAGTCACGTGATAGTAAAGGAAATCATAGAAACATCACGTGACCCATTCTCTTTTTCTCCATGTTAAAATGGGATGAGACCGGGGAAAGTTTGCCATGTTTAATATCAGGAAGATATTCAGTGGACCTATCTGATGTTCTTCCAGTTGAGCCTATATAACAGTAACGGCACCTGTGACACACGATCGTATACATCACATTCCACGTAACATATGTGAAGTCGTCTTTGACAGTAAAATCCTTATCCTCAAATTCCACATGTTTCTTTTCTTATTTATTTTATTTTACATATTTCCAAAATATTTTTGTTCTTTAAAATCTTATTTTTTACAGTAATAATACATACATTCTTTTACTACCTGTAATATTTAATATTTTGAAAACTCAACTTCCGGCATATACATGACCATGGGCGCCCGCAGAAAACTTTCTANAGTTTTAATTTACTGTAGCGTATTTGTATGGTGAACGAACGGACAGGACATCAGCTTAGTTAATTTCTCTTTATTTTCTCTTTACTTTAATAAATTTTGTGTCTATTTTTTTCTAAATTTTTTTTATCCAATCAATCCGGGGGGGGGGGGCAAGTGCCCCCTTGCCCCTACCTGCGGGCGCCCATGTACATGACTATGGGGAAGACTTAAGGTTTTCAACTAGTATCTACTTGTATTACTTCTCCATGTGTCCTGTCAGCTGAAGAAGGCGTTTAGCCAAAATGATATTCTTATACTGTCCTGTCTTTCTTTTTCAAGCTTCCACACACCCTTGATCTTATATTACCTTTACACATCTTGAATGTAATCCTTCTTTATTATCCTTTATATTGCAAATTTAATACAAAATTTTGTGAAGTAAACTGGAACATCAGTAGTATTGGCGTGAACAATAAAGCAGGCCTCGTCCAGACATCTATGCAAAAACATTGTGCAAAGCACCATTTCCATTAACCGCTGTGTAAGTCAAGGATCCATAGGTACGGGTTTGACTCTTTGAAATGACGTCATCAAAGTGTTCAGTTGGCAATTATTGGTGACAGTATCTTCCCAACAATTTCTTTGTACGTTAAAAAAAGTTTTTTACAGGGGGGGTGTGGAAGGGGTAATGTTTATGTTTCTAGCCCCACTTAGACGGCGGACAAGCTATTAAAAATTCAAAAAGCATGGAGGAAACACTAATATATATACTAAAAACATTTTTTATGAAGACTATTACATAACATATATTGAATGTTACAACTTATTGACAGTACACTGACAATAGAGCACTATGTAGCAAGCCTTATTTTTTTCTTAATGCCAATTACTGTTGTACAAGTTAAATTTTTTTGAACTTTTAATTTTTTTCCAGAAAAAATTCCATGCCCTGAGTGGCCACTAGTCGTGAGCTGAGTGTTAAGTTCCTGGGGTCGACACTAAAGAGCTCACATCGGTTAGATGACGACAGCCAGTTGAAAGCCGAGCAGTAGTCCGTGTATCTCCTGGTGATACACATCATAGCACACGACGCTGGACTTTGGCCGTCAGCTGAGACAATCATGGCCGTCTGCGTTAGTCTTTTATTCATCTGACCGGCATACTTTGTGTCTTCAGTGGAGATCATGTCACTGACCATGGCCTCGAGCTCGCAGAAGTTTAAATAATCTGAGTCGTATCTGGGGACAACGAGTTTTGCCGTTAGAATTAATAGGTAAACTATCCTTTCAGTTGAATTGTCAAAGTCTAATTAGACGTGTATCAGCACAAGTCATAGATCATCCATGTGTCAATACATGTCAAAGATTATGGTGGTCGCAGTTCCCTTGCTCAAACCGATTCGAGTCCTTAACACACTAGTCAACTATGTTACGGGTATCCATGTTCTCGTATCTATGTTCCAGTATCCAGTTAGCACAACTCCAAGTCTATAAAGTAATTGAATTGAACGTGTTCAAGACTCTTGCCCTGAATCACCATTTAGGTGTTCTTTTTAACAATTGCCAACAAGAAAGCTGGATAACACAGTTAATCAATTAAACGACTCACTCTATTGAGTTTCAGGTTTGTCGGAGGGTTTAAGTTCTATCCGAAGCAAACGAGGCTTAGTGCTCTACTTACTTCCTGTTACGTGGCTTAGTGGTCTACTTACTTCCTGATACGTGGCTTAGTGGTCTACTTAATTACTGGCACTTAAAGATCGCACTTAATAATTTGTTTAAACATAAAATGCCATAACGAGGCACTTGCAAGTTCCAGTAACTATACCCCACCCACTTTTTTAAACCTACAACGATTTAAAATTGTACTCGGCACAGAATGAACCAGTGGTTGTAAATACCCGGATATTTTAGGGGTACTATCCTGGCACCAAAGTAACGCCAGTGTGAGGTGTATGTACAGTCGGTGAACCTAGCTATATGTGTGTGTACAGTCGGTGAAATTAGCTATCATGTGTGTGTACAGTCAGTGAACCTAGCTATGATGTGTGTGTACAGTCGGTGAACCTAGCTATGATGTGTGTGTACAGTTGGTGAACCTAGCTATGATGTGCATGTACAGTCTGTGAACCTAGCTATGATGTGTATGTACAATCGGTGAACTTAGCAATGATGTGTGTGTACAGTTAGTGAACCTAGCTATGATGTGTGTGTACAGTCGGTGAACCTAGCTATGATGTGTGTGTACAGTCAGTGGTGAACCTAGCTATGATGTGTATGTACAGTCAGTGAACCTAGCTATGATGTGTATGTACAGTCGTGAACCTAGCTATGATGTGTGTGTACAGTCGGTGAACCTAGCAATGATGTGTGTGTACAGTCAGTGAACCTAGCTATGATGTGTATGTACAGTCAGTGAACCTAGCTATGATGTGTGTGTACAGTCAGTGAACCTAGCTATGATGTGTGTGTACAGTCAGTGAACCTAGCTATGATGTGTATGTACAGCCGGTGAACCTAGCTATGATGTGTGTACAGTCAGTGAGCCTAGCTATGATGTGTATGTACAGTCGGTGAACCTAGCTATGATGTGTGTGTACAGTCATTGAACCTATCTATGATGTGTGTGTACAGTCAGTGAACCTAGCTATGATGTGTATGTACAGTCGGTAAACCTAGCTATGATGTGTATGTACAGTCGGTGAACCTAGCTATGATGAGTATGTACAGTCAGTGAACCTGGCTATGATGTGTATGTACAGTCAGTGAACCTGGCTATGATGTGTATGTACAGTCGGTGCACCTAGCTATGATGTGTATGTACAGTCGTTGAACCTAGCTATGATGTGTATGTACAGCCGGTGAACCTAGCTATGATGTGTGTACAGTCAGTGAGCCTAGCTATGATGTGTATGTACAGTCGGTGAACCTAGCTATGATGTGTGTGTACAGTCATTGAACCTATCTATGATGTGTGTGTACAGTCAGTGAACCTAGCTATGATGTGTATGTACAGTCGGTAAACCTAGCTATGATGTGTATGTACAGTCGGTGAACCTAGCTATGATGTGTATGTACAGTCAGTGAACCTGGCTATGATGTGTATGTACAGTCGGTGAACCTAGCTATGATGTGTATGTACAGTCGTTGAACCTAGCTATGATGTGTATGTACAGTCAGTGAACCTAGCTATGATGTGTATGTACAGTCGCTGCACCTAGCTATGATGTGTATGTACAGTCGGTGCACCTAGCTATGATTTGTATGTACAGTCGTTGAACCTAGCTATGATGTGTATGTACAGTCGGTGCACCTAGCTATGATGTGTATGTACAGTCAGTGAACCTAGCTATGATGTGTATGTACAATCGTTGAACCTGGCTATGATGTGTATGTACAGTCAGTGAACCTAGCTATGATGTGTATGTACAGTCAGTGAACCTGGCTATGATGTGTATGTACAGTCGGTGCACCTAGCTATGATGTGTATGTACAGTCAGTGAACCTAGCTATGATGTGTATGTACAGTCGGTGCACCTAGCTATGATGTGTATGTACAGTCGGTGCACCTAGCTACGATAGCTTTATGAGCAACAACGCCATCCTCTTCATTGGATTATGTCATACAATAAATCTAAAGATCTGCCTGCTTAAGTTAGGGTCACTCAAGTGTTTACATTTGATTTGTAGGGGTCACTCAAGTGTTTACACTTGATAGTAGGGGTCACTCAAGTGTTTACACTTGATAGTTGGGGTCACTCAAGTGTTATACTTGATAGTAGGCTTCACTCAAGTGTTTACACTTGATAGTAGGGGTCACACAAGTGGTTACATTTGATAATTAAAATGTTAAAATAGGTAAGCCCAGGTTATTTTAATATAAAGATAGGTCCAATGTCTATACACTTATCAGAATACATCTTGGCATTTAATTTCTATTGAATTTCACTTTACTTGATAAGCCGAACATAACGGCCGATGACAGGCCCTGTACAATTCCAGGTGAATGTTCCAATGCCCACTGGGTCAGTTCTGTTCATACAAAGTTGCCCAAGTATCAATGGGAATCCGGGCATTTTTCTTGGGTCAGTTGTAAAAACGTCGATTCTAAAACTTTTGAGACGCGTTGCTGAGACATCGCCCCTGTAAGTTGATGTGGAATGCATGTGTTAGTACTGCTGGTAGGTTTGTAACTCTATGTACCACTACACATGATATTAAACAAGAAATTGCACAATGTCTAACACACATGGTTGATATGCCGTAAACCAAGGCATACATTAAAAGAGAAAGTGACCAAAACATTTGATATTTTGTTAACTTTACTAGTCTACTTATTAAACTTTGGATTTCAGTAACTGTCAGATCTACAAGACAATAGAAAGAACAGAGAATTTGACGCTACTGATTTTAATCATAGTTTTCATGGAGTGAAATGACGCGAAAAAATGCAGTTTTCACAACACTAAATTTAACACAGAAAACTCATAAGGTTTTATGTACTATTTAAGTGCGACTAACGGAGCTATAGTAGGAGTGGATCCCTGACACATAATAACTAAATCACCCGTTTCCGGAAACACAAATATGATTTTGTTAGAATCGTGTAATAATTTTAACTTTCCGTCATTTTGTTTTTAAATTGGACATTTTAAACTACGTGTAATAATCTCCAACTGCCCGCATTGTATAGGCGTTTAATTAAGTGGCCCACCTGTTGGTAAGAACTATTTGTTGGAAGACATGAATCCCGAGGGTATCCACCATCCACCATCCCGGGTATCCAAGATTTGTATGTTGACAGTGCCCGATGATGTTGCTGATGAGGTCACCGTTGTTGGCAAGCGTGGCCGGGTGGGGCACAGCGTTGACAATGTCGTTGCTCTGGTAAGCGGGTTTGTAGATAGCCGCATTCCACAATATGGCTCCGGTCGAATGGCGTAACAGTAACGTGAGAACTATAGTACACCAAATTATGGGGTGAAACATGTGTAAGTCTTGTCTTGGATAGTAGGACCATTAGACAACAAGCGTAGACACAAGCAAGAGAAGGGTTAGATTGTTTGATAACAATATGTGCCGCTTCAATACGCCTCTGTGTCTATCGATCTAAGATTATAGTCTAAGGTTACTCAATTAGAAACTTATGTCCACTTTTTAAAAAGCTGTCCAATGTTCAAGTCCTTCTCATTTACACGATGGTTAATGTCATCGCCAAATAACGTCACTCTGATGAAGACCACTCAAAATACCGCAACAGTTTTCAAACCGTGCCGTTTTTTAAATTTAGAATATAGACCAATCGCTTTCGATTGATTTAATAAAAATCATTTGTATTTGTCTTGAAGGTTGATCTTAAATTGTATAATTCTTGCATCGATAAAAGTGCTTCTCAAGCAGGTAGTAGTGTTTTGCGAGTTAGGCGTAAGTAATGCCTGGTACGTGTGGGCGCGTCCCTTGCATATTCTTTATAACAAACACCCATTTAATTCGCCCAAATTAAAGTCCAAACTTAAAGCAGTTTTAAAAATTAAATTTAGTGATATGATGCGTTGAATTACGATGTTGGGGTACAAAGCTTTGGCAATCAAAAATTAAGTTTACCAATTCTTCTGTCTCGGCACGGCATGATTTATCAACCCTTCTGTCTCGGGCATGGCATGATTTATCAACCCTTCTGTCTCGGGCATGGCATGATATATCAACTTTTCTGTCTCGGGGAGGCATGATTTATCAACTTTTCTGTCTCGGGCATGGCATGATTTATCAACTTTTCTGTCTCGGGCATGGCATGAATTATAAACTTTTCTGCCTCGGGCATGGCATGATATATCAACTTTTCTGTCTCGGGGAGGCATGATTTATCAACTTTTCTGTCTCGGGCATGGCATGATATATCAACTTTTCTGTCTCGGGCATGGCATGATTTATCAACCCTTCTGTCTCGGGCATGGCATGATATATCAACTTTTCTGTCTCGGGGAGGCATGATTTATCAACTTTTCTGTCTCGGGCATGGCATGATATATCAACTTTTCTGTCTCGGGCATGGCATGATTTATCCACTCTTCTGTCTCTAGCACGGCATGATTTATCAACTTTTCTGTCTCGGGCATGGCATGATTTATTAAATTTTCTGTCTGGGGGAGGCATGATTTATCAACTTTTCTGTCTCGGGCGTGGCATGATAAATCAATTTTTCTGTCTCGGGCGTGATGGTATAATGGTAGGTAAGAATTTATTGCGTTACCAGCAATGGGAAGAAGATCCAGAAATATTGCAGCGTTAAAAGTGTTGTTTTTTTAACTACCTGTAATCTATTATCTATTGCTTTGTTTAATTTTAACCAACGATTTAAATGTAAATTTACCTGTGAATATCTATGTAAATCTACGTATGATGGTCTATGTAAATCTACTTATAATGCTCTATGTAAATCTACTTATGATGCTCTATGTAAATCTACGTATGATGCTCTATGTAAATCTACGTATGATGCTCTATGTAAATCTACGTATGATGCTCTATGTAAATCTACTTATGATGCTCTATGTAAATCTACTTATGATGCTCTATGTAAATCTACTTATGATGCTCTATGTAAATCTACTTATGATGCTCTATGTAAATCTACTTATGATGCTCTATGTAAATTTATTTGTGATTACAACTGTAAAAAATATATTCCCGTTTAAAAAGATGGATTCCTCGCCGGCAAAGACAAAGTTTCGAGAAGCTCTGGTTGAACTGTTCATTGATTGAGTTATTGAATGGCATTCCCTTGATCTCAACCTCACCCGTTAGTTTAAGTCAATATTTACATTCTGATCTTAATAAATCTATTTGAAGTATGATTAAGAAAGACCGCTTTGTCCGACTAACAATGAAAATGAGTAGGCCTATACTAGATCAAGCCCGCACAACTCAAAATGTAAGGCGGTCGTAATACTTTATGAAAAACTTGTGCGGACCGAAATAGAATAGGACAGGAGGGAAAGTTATTAAGTAAATAATAATAATAAAGAATGTTTCGTTACTTCGCGGGTGGCAAAGTGGATGCTGGCGGGCCGCATGTGGCCCGCGGCCGTATGTTGTGCAGGGCTGTTCTAGATAGTTCACGCACTTGTGTCATGCATTTATGTCATACAGATACGCCGCACAGTAACGTCGTACAGTTTTGTCATTTAGCTGTGGCATACCGTTGTCTCATACAGTTGTGTCATACAGTTATGACATACAGTTGTGTCTTGCAGTTATGGCATACAGTTGTGTCATACAGTTATGACATACAGTTGTGTCATACAGTTATATCATACATTGATTTCGCACAGTTCCTTTGCTCCCATTAATTATACATCTAACATGATTAATACAATAAGTTTTTTTGATATTTTTTGGTGAATTTGACAATATGTGTATGCAGTATAGAGTCAACGTACTAAATATTTGTAGCTATTTATTCTCCAGATTAATTCTAAAGGTTTATTACTCGCAAACATTATACCAGTAACTACAATGTCGAAAATCCCAGTGTGGTTAGCACTGTTGAAATGTTTCAAAACGGGGAAAAGTGTTTGTTTTTTAATGTTGTATAGGTTTTCTCTAAAACTGTCTCCGAGGCGATGACACGCCTCCCCTACGTACGATATTCCACAATTTGTTTAAAGAATGTTGTAAATTGCGCTGTGACTTGTACAACTAAAGCCAAATGTTTGATTCTGAATATTTCAAAAAGGGAACCTCATCTTATCAACATCAATCACACGGTGAGAAGTGTTTCAGTGTCGATGGATTGCGGCTTTTTGGTGTTTAAACGAAATTTAATTTAATAGCAGGGAGATGGCTTCGAACAAGCAACTCACTATCACTAAGGCTCTTGGCACTCCTGAAAGTGAAAACAGGTTTTGTTAGGTGACAGGCTCCGTTGTTAGGATCGACCTGTTCTTTAGAGATAGATCCATTCAATGAAAGATAATTAAATAAATGAACTATTTAGTCAATGGGAATAATTTGTCTTGAACATTTTACGTTTCTTCTTTGTTTACAGTTAATTTTGCTTCTATTTAGAACAATAAATAATACCATAGTGGAACAAGGTATGTGGAAGACTGGAATGAAAAGACAGGACAGTAAAATGAAGGGGGGGGGGTGGGGGGGGGGGGGGGGGGGGGTGGGCAATCAACATCAAGGCAAATAAAATCGTAAACACTACCAGCGGATTTCGGTGACATAAGGGAGAAGACCGACATTTGCAAAAATGGAATCTAGTAATCGGCCTTATCTCCCTTGTCTAATCTTTTAAAATAATTTAAGTACTGATTCTTATTTCCTTTTCTCAAGTTTTCAGATGGTTAATTTAGCACTAGGTGCGCCTTTTTTTTTTATTTATCAAATTATACTCCATCATTTACTATTTGTTTCAAATAATGTTTCTATGTGTACGAAGATTAGAATATAATTGCTTACTGACGCTTTCTCACGAGGTTCAATTTTAGTTCTTGACAAATTCTTAATGTAATCTGTTTACTTTGGACACTCGTTGTCTTCGGTTGGTTGTTTGGACTGTGTGTTGGTTGTTTGGACTGTGTGTTGGTAGTTTGGACCATGTGTTGGTTGTTTTGACTGGGTGTTGGTTGTATGGACTGTGTGTTAGTTGTATGGACTGTGTGTTGGTTGTTTGGGCTGGGAATTGGTTGTTTGGACTGGGTGTTGGTAGTATGGAATGTGTGTTGGTTGTATGGACTGTGTGTTTGTTGTTTGGATTGTGTGTTGGTTGTGTTGACCATGTGTTGGTTGTTTGGACTGGGTGTTGGTTGTATGGACTGTGTACTGGTTTTATGGACTGTGTGTTGGTTGTTTGGATTCTGTGTTGGTTGTTTGGACCATGTGTTGGTTGTTTGGACTATATGTTGGTTGTTTGGACTGTTTTGGTTGTTTGGACCATGTGTTGGTTGTTTGGACTGTGTGTTGGTTGTTTGGACTGTTTTGGTTGTTTGGACCATGTGTTGGTTGTTTGGACTGTGTGTTGGTTGTTTGGACCATGTGTTGGTTGTTTGGACTATGTGTTGGTTGTTTGGACCAGATGTTATTTGCTTGGACCATGTGTTGGTTGTTTGGACTGTGTGTTGGTTGTTTGGACCATGTGTTGGTTGTTTGGACTATGTGTTGAACTCCACCTTTGTTTCCAAGATGACGATGTTACTGTTTGCGTGATTTGATGCCTATCAACATCCGATAGGAATAGACAAAGTATCAGTTATGCCTGAGTTGAAGAAAGGGATGGAGCATACCAAATCCATCCTTTCTTTATTACCAAGCCAGGGATGGAAGGATGGAGTTAACACTTTTAACCTGGTCAAGCTATTGTAAAATATGCGCATAGGGGAATGTACTTTGCCTCTTATGGTGCGATTAGATGCGCGATTACGTCAATTTTGAAATTTCTGCAAAGATGTCATGAAGTCATTCTTTTTATCTGATTTTTTTCAACTTATTTTATTTCTTTTTTATTTACTTTGACGGGAAAAATAGCGTTATAAATTTATTTATTAGTATTTTTTTTTAATCCTTTGTTTGAGCATGCAAGGATGACTTTAGTACGTCACAGTTTGTTTTCATTCAGCATTCCATCATGGAACTACTTAGTTCTCAGCATCTTGGCGACCATCAGTAACAACATACGTGATTGCTAGATTTATGAAATAGCAAAAATTTACCAGGTGTGATTGTATGTTAGCTCATAAATTAGTCCATGGGTTGGATTAATTAGATTAATTGGAAAGTCTTCAATCGAATTATCTCAAACAGATGCCCTTAATTAGGGGATGCGGGTCAGTGATGGGGGAGGCAGTGTCAG